TCCATATCCCATAGGTAGTTGTCTACTTCTTTGGTCGCCCTAGTTCCCTTGAACTCTTTAGGCTTCGGGACATCCATTTTGAACTTCAACACTCCAACAAACATGCCATTCCCAATGGCAGTCTTGCAAGCAATAAGCTCGCTAGTGAGCTCCTCTATCCTTTTGCTTAAGGCGTCCACCACAGCCTCTAAGGTTTCATTTTTTTGGGTGATCACGTCCATGCCTTTGTTGAAAACAGCTTGCAACTTGCCACTGAGCTCCTCTTTCATGCAGTCTAGCATTTCAACATGAGTCTTCACATCTTCAAGCTTTTCTTGCATGTCTCCCATGCACACTTCCACCCTGGCTAGCCTACAGTCCATGGTAGACCAGATGTCTCTCAAGTTGGCATTCTTGCCTCTTTCACACCCCTGTTCCTGGGCTCTAGTTGTTGGCTAGCAACGTCACTCTGGGTTGCCATCTCTTCAATTATGATCTAACCTGAACAACACAAACACGTAGAATCAAACTTGCTTTGATACCAACTGTCACAGGTTCTGACCTTAGACTCAGAATCCATGCGGCCTTAGGTTTGAAATCACCCCATTGTAGCCTAAGTTAGCCTAAAACACCAACGTGCGGGCACTAAAACAATGAGAAGGGCTGAATGCGTAAGTTTGAGAGAAACAAAAAAATAAGATAGCTTGCTGGAATATGCTTTGTATTCATTGAAATAGAAGTGTTTGATGGTGTACAAATAAGGGTAGAGCAGCCCTCTATTTATAGTTGAGGCTCCAGCTACACTTAATGGTAATATCCCTAGAATCAAGGCTAAAATCAAGGAATTACAAAAATTACAATCAATCAGAATTCTAACTCCTGAATTCTAGGGTCAACCAAATCTGTCAGGAGGCTCCTGCTGATCCTAAAGGCTTCCAGAAGATTCCCTTGTGAATCTCCCACCTTAGGCCCCTTTGGATGTGGTGCAGGCATCCTGCAGGCCAGGCCTTGGCCTCACGGGTTGGCCTGTAAGCTGTGCAGGCATTTTGGCCTTGTCTCCTAGGCCTTGTATGTAAATACCCGCCAGCGCGCCTGGTGTGCGAGCCTCAACCTCTGGCTCGCGTACTGATGCACTTGATGTGCCTGACGCGCCCGTCCAGGGCGTGACATATACACTCACTCAACACCTATTTTTGGTAGCGCATATGCCATGCCATTTGCTCCTTGACAAATATTTACAAATTTGACATCAACTGGCTCCCTGACTAAGAAATCAACCTCCGATAAGGTGTCCCAAAATCTTCATGGACGTGCAGTCTCATTGAGCACCCATCTGACTCCAATATTTGAATTAGATTCAATAATTAAGTTGGCTTTATGCTTTCACTCAATTTGGTTAAAAACCTCCAAAGCTGTTTTAGTCACCAGTATGTCGTAATGGTTCTGGGACCGCCCGATTAAAAAAGTTTTAAATCGAGAAAATTGAAAAGAGTCACCACCAATCTTTTATAAGGTGTGATTGGCCACCCAAAAGTTTATCTTTTTAATAAAACTATAAAAATAGGTTTAAAGTTTATCAAAAAGATAAATTTGATCTACGAAAACCAAGTTGGGTCTGGGAGTCGGTTACATGTGGGGAAGGATTAGCACCCCACAACACCTATAAATTGGTACCAATTAATTATGCCCTATTTTTCAGTGTTTGATGAAATGGTTTCGATTTGAAATTTAATAATAATTTTTTTTGTTATTTTAAAAAGAAAGAAAATTAATTTTATCAAAATCTTTTATTAAGAAATATAAAGAAATCTTTAAGTTAAAGAATTATCTTAAAATTCTTCAACATCTAGGCATAATTTAAAATAGCTCTTTTCTCTTGAGATTTAATACAATATCCCTTAAAATGAAAATAACACTCATTGCAAGAAATGATCGTTGGTAACTCTCCAACATCTAGGCAAAGTACCGAGAATTACTCCATTTGAAATGTTATTTTTGTTTTATTTTATAATATCACAATTTTAAAAGTAAGTAAATAAAAAACATTTTGTGTGAAAACGTAAATGATAGTATTATTAGATATCAAATAAAAATTAAAGACAAAGAAATGTAAAATGAGTGCCAACAATTATATAATGATGCAAGCATGTTAATGTATATTATGCAAGATGATGAAATATAATTTAAAAAATGGATTCTTAAATATAATGAGACCACCTTGACTCTTCAACATCTAGATAGAGCTTAGGTGTGACCATTTATATTTAAGATCCCATATTATTAGCACCTTTTTTTATTTATTGATTTTAATCCCATGGTTAAAGCAAATTAAGGACTAGCATGAAAACTTAATGAAATAAAGTTTCATAAATGCCCCATCTTCTAGGCGGCATTCAAGAACAAATTATTCGAGATTTTCATACATGTCCTTAGGATTTTGGGATGGTCTTGGTTAGAGCTTAAGTCAAGGTTTTAAAGTTACGGTTTTAGATTTTGGAGTTTTGGAATTTTGGGGTTTTGGTTTGAGTTTCAAGGGTTTTAGGATTTGGTTTTAGGGTTTAGAGAGTTTTAGGGCTTGAATTTTAGGGTTTGGATTTTAGAGTTTTAAAGTTAAGGGTTTGAATTTTTTTAATATTTTAAAAATACGAACATCTCTAAAAATCTCCAACATCTAAGTGGACTTTCAGAGCAAGTTCAATTTTTATGATTTTTTTTAAAACTATTTTTTTTTAAAAAATCTTTTTTATGAGAATTTATTATTAAAAAAATTATTAATTTATTCAATATTCTTTATAATAATAATTCTCCAATATCTAGGCGAAATTAACATTATGTTAAACATGATTGTATTTCCTCCAAATGGGCAGGGAAAAATTATTATTATATTTTGTAAGCGTTTTTTTACCATTATTATTATTATTTTCAACATTTTTATTTTTTTAGTTATTATCCTAGTTGTTTTCATTTTATTATTATTAAAACAATCAAATTATTTTAACAAATTTTTAAAAAAATTATCATGCATGAATATTAAAAATAAAACTCAAAATAACAAAAATAACAACATATAAAAAATTTTAATTTTTTTTTAAAAAAAATCTGAACCGAATCGATTAACAGTCTGATAAACATTGGTTTGGACTGCTCGACGGTTCGACACTTCTGATCGGTTTGAACCAGTTCACTAGCGGTTCGATACTGATTCAATTGGATCGATCCTAGGCTGAGGCAAAAGCGATAGTGGGTCGAGTTGTACGGATCTCAGGTTGGATCCGGGTTGACGCTCGAATCTTTCTTGGTCTAAATGACATCGTTTTTGGGCTTTGGCTTTCTATATAAAAGGCCTTTTGTTTAGCTCATTTCCCCCTTTTTTAAAAAAAAAACTCATTTTTTCTCTCTTAACCAAAAAAATAGAAGGTTGGCCCACTGCCGAAAGTCGATCACCAATAGTCGCATCGGCCGCATGCATCACCATCGTCGTCAGTCACCGACGTCGAAAAAGCATCTAAAACACCCAAAAGCTTCCTTACTTCATCCTCTTTACAGATCCGGTGTCTCTTTCACTAGAAATAGCCCCAATCGTTATAGATCGGGGCTTGAAGTTTTTGGTCTCCATTTTAAAAAAAAAGAGCTAAAACTAAATTTTTTTAATAAAACGAAACTGATGATGATTTCTTGTGTTTGCAGGTAGCTCGACGATGGGTTCCTCCATGCAGAGAGGATTGTTGTTTTTTTTTTTTTATTTCTTTGATTTTGGGTTTTTAGCTTTCCAATGAATGATGGGTTTTTGTTGGGTGGTGTGGTGGTTTCAGGTGCAGGGAATGGATGTGTGGCACTAGGTTTGGATTTCTAGTAGGGTGTGGTGAAGGTTTGATCCTTGGGTTTTAAGGTTGCTGTGGTGGTCTTGGGCGCTAAGCGGTGGGAGACTTGGTTTGAGTACATGTGCTGTGAGGTTTTTGGGCATCTGTGTTCGAGAGCTGGGTGTCTGGTATCCAAAGCTGTGTCTGAAAGAAAAGAGAGTGTTTGAGGGTAGTGTGTCTGGTGGGGGAAAGCTAGGTGTCTAGTGCCAAAGGGGTGCCCAAGAGAGGTGCCAAAGGGGAGGAAGTTGGGTGTTTTATAGTGTTAGGGAGTTTACAGGGTGGTGAGTAGATGGTGGCTGTAAATGGGTCGGTCGGGTGACTGGTGAGGGGATTGGATAAAAGGCTGGACAAGAAGCTAGTTAGGGTAGGGATAGCTGGAGGTGGCTACAGAGATGGGCTGTAGGTGGGCTATAGGGTGGCTGGTCAGGGGCGGTAGCGGTGTTGTACACCAGCCACCCTACCTTTTATTTTTTTTCAAATTATTTTTTTTAAATATATATTTTTATTTATTTTATTATTATTATTTACTATTATAATTAATAATTTTAATATAAAAGACCTAGACAAAATTCGATGTCTACATAGTAGTTTCGACAAAGGATCTTGAATATTGATTGTTAGAAAAAATAAATAAGAGAAGAGAAATAATAAAAAACAATTTGGCTTTAGAGCTTGAAATATATTAATTATGCTTTTAAAATACAATAAAACATCAAAACTTTCCAAGCAAAAGTAATGAAAATGATTATACTAAAAGATCTATTTATAATAAATGAACAAACATAAACTTCTATTAAATAGTTATGACCTTTTGTATAATCATGATATTTAGGAATAATAATCTATTTATAATAAAATGGTTATGACAATTTATCATATGATAATTGTTTCTGTTTAAATATAATTATTTAAAATATGAATAAAATTAATATAAAAATTAATTTTATTCATCAATAATTAAATCTTTTTATCTAATGTGGGATGCAACACATTCCATACTACTAACAATGCCCCACTAGTTTGGAATGTTGGTGCTTAATCTTTAACCTTTCACACAAATAAATATTATGAATATGAAGAAAATATCTCTTGATTTAAACCTTCAATTAGCTTATATATCTTATAATTTTAACAAAATTGATGGTGTCCACATATTACACCTTAACTTCTAGTCTTAGAATTGAAGATATAACTGTTGGAAATCACCACAGCTCTGATATCACTTGTTAGGCTAAAAAGCCTCAATTTCATCGCACCTGCAGAAGCATAATCAAACAATCAATCAATCACATAAGAGACAGTAATTTAACGTGGTTTGGTCTAACTAACCTATGTTCACAGATGAGAAATAAGATCTACTAGTTATAGAGAATTACAAACATACATCAGAGTATATCAACCACTAAACAATCAATACCCATATATTTTTTCAATCTCCTCTAGTCCTATAGAGTATTCTCAACCCAAACAAACACAAACTCATATGCACTCTTTCAACACAAACAAACACATATCCATATGCACCCATACATTATACTTATATGGACTATCTCAGTCTCCTTTAGTCCACTTACATGCACCATACCTATGTGGACCTTCTCAATATCCTCTAATCCACTCACAAATATACAAACATATACACCTATAAGACTTAAACCTTTAGTAGTCTTACGAGGTGTCTACCCATTAAACCCTACAACTTTCTTATATATTTTTATACCTAACCCTATAAAGACTTCACCTATTTATAACCATATAAACTTGCCTATTAAGAATCCCTTTCTTTTTATAATTTTTCTTCTGTAAGTCAAACATGCCTATTAAAAATCTTTTTTCTTCTAGAATTTTTTTTCTCTAAGTCTTTTTGTCCATTAAGTAATATTTGACAAATCTCAAATAAATCTATTATGGATTTGAGTCACTATTCCTAACAATAACACACATAACACTAATTTATTTTTCTAACAGAGGTTTATAACTACTTTAGTACTATCATGGCCATGTATTTATAGTATTTACAAACATTTATAAGAGAGATCCCAATTCTTTTTGTTGAAGCAGGGCCACTTCTATGTTTATATAGATAAAGTTTTCATTATGTCTTCATTACTTTAGGCATTTAAATAATAAACTCCATTAAAAGTATAAAAACTCATCCTCTCCATGCAATTGATCACACTAGTTTCTAAAACTTGAATGGATTTTACTAGTGCTTAATAGACACATAACAATAATTTGTTTTTACCCATTAAACTTTGTAATTAGATGTTACTAATTCAAAGTTGGTTTCCTATTATTGGTGTCTAATAGTAAGGGTTTAAATCCATTCTACTTGTAGTACTACTAACAAAATATATTGGAATTCAATTTTCTTTTATAGTAATTACCCCAACTTAAGACTAAATCTTTCTAATACAATCACTTCAAGGTTATATGTTCAAAATTTTCATTTTACATATCATTTATATGCTCTAGACATTATTACCTCATTTTTGTTATTTTAAGAAATAGTTGGTATTGGTTGTGGCCACAACTATACTCATAAATTTCAACTATTCTATTTCATACATTTCATACGTCTTTAATACAATTATACTTCTACTATAATTGGATAAAATCAATGAATAAACCAAGTCATTTTGATCCTTTTAAGATATGTAAGGGCTTTTTTTATTGTGGTTTTATATTAATAAGTGTACTAAACTTATTAGCTGTATAATTTGCTCATAAAATTATACTAAAATCTTACAATATTATGGTGGTATTTTCTTTTTATTTCTTTTGATTCTTATCACCCCTACCATGTGTAAATATGCATTCTTTTATTAAAGAATGTCGCATTTAATTATCAAGATATCATATATACCTAATCAAATTGTCATTTCTTTTATCTTTTCACTAGTTGGCTGTTTTTTCTTATTAAGTGAAAGGCCTTCAAATCCACCATTAATGAAAGATAGTTAGCAACTAGTAAACTTTTATTTAAACTCAATATGAGAGTATACATCAATAAAAATGATGTCAAATATAATCACCTTCAAAACTAGTAAACTCATACTTTCTATAGTCTCATTTTGAGACTTTCATTCCAACTCTTAGATACTTAAAAATTATTTGATCATGGTACCTAAGCCATATCCACCACGATTCTTGTTATTAAGAACAATTAAAATTTCATGTATAATCATACAATACTATAAATTTTGTATCCAAATTATAAAATACATGAAATTTTTTCACCCAACAATTAGAAAGCATTTTAACTAGTTACAAATAATTATATAACTTTTCTAATTGAATTGAAGTTATCTTAAAAAATATATTTATTTCTTATCAAAATAATATTATATAAATCAAACAATATGAATCATGCATTATTCTCTTGTCAATAAAATGCAATCTTGAAATCTAACCATGTGATAAAGTTTAATCAATCAATATTTGAATTGCAGTTAATTGAACCTTTGAGGGATTTTAGAGAGACAAGGGGAGAGAAAATAAAGAAACAATTATTTTTTTATTTTTCACATATATTAATTGTATCATATAATAAATTTTCATTTATTTTATTTATATCATATGAATTTTTTTTTAATTGGCAAAAATTAACGGTACAAGTAGATGCAAATAATATTAAAAAGGTCAATTAAATATAATAAAAAGCTTAAATAATTTTTAATGATAATTGAAGGATTTTTTTATACGCTTTAACTATTATAATGTCGGGTATGCATATATGCACCAAAATTCTGCCATGAACTTCGGCTTTCGGGACGGTTTTTTTAAGTGGCAAATGCTGCTATTTGTGGACATCGAGGAAAATTAAAAAATTTTATAATAAAAAAACCAATCATGTCGCCAACTTCAACGAAATTCAGTTTCAACCTAAAAGCAAGAACATTAACTTTTTTTTTTTTTTTAATTTGGCTGCTCTAATGGCAATCATAATCTTTACAATTTCAACCACATATCCCTAAATTTTGGCTTTAAATTTAATGGACCGACGTATATGCAATATTAATTAATCAAAATGCTGATACGGTACAATCTTATCTAAATAATTCTTGTTAACTATACTTAATGCAAAGAGATAACAAAATAATACAAACTTTTTGTCTTCATTATAATCTTATAATAATTGTGGTGATAAAATTTTTGGGGGTCTTGTAATTAATTATGCATTATCAAAGTTAATCATCATTACTTTTAGCATAAAAAATTTCGGCTGGTATGTCATTAATTAGAGAATAATTATAGAATTGTACAGAAGTGATAGATAAATAATTTAAATAAACGTGAAGTGGGAGATTAATGATTATTGGGAGCACCAGACCTTACTTTAAGATTGGAACAATCTTTAGTAAAGCTTCTACTAAAGGGCTGGTAGCCTTTGGCTAAGGCCTTTTTGACATTGTTTCAATAATTTAACTAAGAAAAGGATGAATCCACTTATCAAATTTCCAATAATTAATTGTTACATAATAATCAAATAAATGTTTGTCCTTGGATATATTGGGATTCTAGTTGGAAAGATAGATAGGAACTTTGTTTATTTTTTGCAGCCCAATGCGATTAAAAAGAGTGGTGGCTGCAGTATGAGCGTTGGATTAGTCAAGAATAAATGGTTCCCTTTGACAAAATGTCAACTAATTGAAAGATCCTGTATTGAACAGAAGTCGCAATATTAGTAAATAATTTCATAGAACTTGGGTATATAAGGATAATATTGAAGTCAATGATCTATTTATAAAATGTTGAATTTTTAATTTTTGTGACTAGGGTTTAAGTTACGTTAGCCTTAAATATAAATATATCTTTTTGTTGAGTAGGTTGGAATCATGAGGGATGTTGGGATTTTGTGAATTTTATCATAGTCTATAGCATCGGTGGTAGACTTATTGATGACATATAAAGGACAAAAGATGCAAATTAACCTGAATAGAAGCATGCAAAAGCATTTCGTGCTAGCATTGTACATCACAATTAATACTCCCACCCATTTCATGCAATAATAGATTTAATCGACCCCACCATCCCAATTTTGCATTTTGAACTTTGTATCATAGCTAGAGAACGCAACTTTTTTACCTTTGTTGTTAACGGGCGAAAGATTGCTTTGTTGCTTTTTTGCTTTTTTGTTTGTTCTTGTGTTTTGGCCGTTTTCTTCATCCAGTTTTGATGCTTTGCTTTATATTTCTTTTTAATTCTTTTCTACTTTATGGATGGGGGAAGGAAGAAGGGGTTGCATAATGGATGTGAAAAGGGGAAAAAAAATGAAATTCACATCAATATTTGTAATTGAATATATTCAAGATGGGTCACATTAAGAATACTAGGGAATGGTAAAATTTGAAACTAGAAAAGGATTTTCTTTCATATTCATTTTGTATCGCCTTAGCTAATTTGAAACTCAAAATATATTTGACATTCTAATTTAGCCATTTGAATTATCGTACACTCTCTTGGTTTCATATTAAAATCCTAAATATCAAAGCAAAATTTAGCTTGATTCTTAATTGGTACATGATTCAGCTTATTCTGAACTTGGAAGTTTTTTAATTAGTACTCAAAAGCCACAACCTGTAAATGCTCTGGGCCTAGATATATTCCTTTCTCATTTTCTTTTCTCAGTGCATTTTCCTCTTTGGTGGGCTTTGAAAGTGGCAAGAAATGTGGCTCCCTACCCAACTCTGAAGTGTAGCATAATCATGGAAAGGAAGTTAATTATTGCCTTGCTTTATTTTTATATATTCTGATCATGAAAAGTAGCTAGAGGGGGAGAGTTGGCTACATCCAGCTAATATTTACTTCAGAAATTTGTGAGAATCTAATGGAAGAGAAAGTTCTTTTTCTTGGAAAAAATGTATCCTTTTCAAGATCCCCAACCCCAAGTAACTACCGTTGCCAACTGCCAAACTTCATTTCAGCTTTAACTCAACCTTTTAAAAAAAAAAAAAAAAAAACCATCTTTAGCAGACAGTTCTTGTTATATAATAAAAGAAAAATGTCAGTAAATTCAAAGTTTAATTTTATTAATTAATACAATTTGAAATGTAAATGAAATGAATATGAACAAATATTATTATGTTTGGGATTCATTTTTTTTTTTTTAGGATGATTTGTGTCATTTAAAAAATTTTTACATTATGTTCAAGCTTGGTTCATTTAAATATTAGAATGTTCAAGTTCAGTTTGAGATCAATTGTTTAAGTGAAACAAACTCATTCATGAATATGAAACAAACATCTGTTCATGA